CCGCAGGCTGGCCAGTGCGCCGCCGCCGCCGCCCGCGCCCGCGCGCGTGCCCACCAGCGCCCTCGCCGCCGGCCGCCAGCGCGCGACGGCGGCCCCCTCCCCCTCCGCCGACCCGTCGTCGTCGCCGCCGCCCCCGCCGCCATCGCCGTCGCGCTCGCCCCCGGACAGCCGCAGCCCGAACGTCGGCGCCGGCCTCTCCAGGGTGAACCGCAGCTGGTCCGGCGGCAGCGCGGCCAGGCAGGCCTGGACCTCTGACAGCAGGACCGTCTTGAAGGCGCGGCCGCGGCGGTCCTCGTTGGCCCCAAAGGAGCACTGCCAATAAATGCTGATGCGGACCTTCAAGGGGTCCTGCAAACGTAGCAGGTGCGCACGAGGTCATATTACGTGATGCGCACGTAATGACCTGTTTTCACCAGCTTTGTCGCTGCAGACAAGGCCAATGGCAGGAGAATCACGAATTTTTTGTTCAACAGTTTGCGTGGTGCGCAAGGGCTGGGCGCTTTGACGACATGCGGGGCGCGCCGCGGCGGCGTACAAGCCTGAGCGCGGGGTGTGCGGGGCGGCGCGGTGGGTGAGTCACCTCGAGGCTGGAAAAGTTGACGACCGGGCAGGCTGCCAGGTCAGCCGCATTGCGCTCGTAGAACAACGCCAGTGCGGTCTGTTGGGGGCCGGCGGCGGTTTGAGGGGGGGGTGAGGTTCCCGCGAGGGCGGAGGGAGGGGGCTGGTTGGGGGTTGGGTGCTTGCACGGATGACCCCAGGTCCATGCTTTGCTGAGTAACACACCGTGATGCATGGATCCCGCGATTGCACGAAGCCTCACCCCCACCCAACCGCGCCCAACAGTGCGCCTCACGGCCCGCACGGCCCCGCGGAGGCATCAAAAAAATCATCTGCTTCCTCCCGATGCTGTCGGGGCCAATTTCGACTGGGCCGCCCACGTGTGTGTCTGCTGCACTCGCACCGCACCATGAGCGCCTTTCTTGCCGCCAGCGCGCCAGCCCCCAGGTCCATCGCGAACGTCACAACCTCGGCCCTCGCCTGGGGATGGGGTCCCAGCAGTCCCAGTAGGGTGCATTTTGGTTGTTCGTGGTGGATGGAAGGAGGGGGTGGGGTGATTGGCAGCCGTAGGCACTGCTCTTTGGGGTGCGGGGCCGCTGGGTGAGGCCCAAGGCTGCGGCGCAGTCGTGCTCAGCAGGATGCGCGCGCAGCAGGTGTGTTTTAGTAGTTGAGTGCGTCTCCACGCGTCAACACAGCGCCGCCGAGGGGCGGCGTGAGCAGAGGGACGCGCGGCGCGGGCCCCCGGGCGCGCCTGGGTGCGGCTGAGGTTGACCAGGGGCAGCAGCAGCATGCGCGTGTTGGGGTAGTAGCAGCGCTCCCCGGTCCGCTGGCATGTGTTGGGGGGGGGGGAGGGGGGTGCCAGGCGCGGCGCCGGCGCGAGGAAGATGGAGGGTCAGGTCGGCGAGTCGGGCAACTTGTACGATGCGCCTAGTGACGCTGCTGGCGCTGCGCTGCGCCCGGCCCGGCTATGTGGTCTTGGCGCCTTGAAACCCTCAAACAATCCATCCGTGATTTGCTGTCTATGCTCCACTGTGTGGGCGCCTCCCTGCTCTCACCTGGTGTGAATGCGCTTGTTCATCCCCAATGCCCGCCCCCCTGCCCCCAAAACCATCCAGCAGCACAGCAGCACTGGCGCACCCTGATCCCGACAGCCATTGCCATCCGCCCGTCATGGCCCCCAACCAAGCCGCCGCCCCCAACCCCCCTAAAAAAGCGCGGACTAAATCAGGGTTGTGCACATCAGGTGACGCACGCCGCTGTCACCTTAGTCAGAACCGTGTACATCAGGTCAATCTGCTTCACGCGCCAGGTGGAGCCATCCAGTTCCAGGAGGTCACCCACCTGCAGCAGCCACATGGGGTTACACAGGGGGTTACAGGGGCCGTAATGGGGTTACAAGGGTTATGGAGGCAACAGGGGTGGTAAGCGGGCGTAGGGGGGTTATGGGGGCTGCATGAACTACAGGCACAGCCCGAGGCATGCAGGGGTGGGCTTGATGATGGGCTTGGTGGCACGTGCGCCGCAGCGTGTGCAGCGCATTTTCGTGGCGTGAGGCACGGCAGTTGCATCACGGTTTGTGTGTGTGTGTGTGTGTGTGTGTGCGCGCGCGCGCAAGCGCGCATGTGTGTGTGTAAGTGCACGCTCATGAGGCTGTTGATCTTCAGCTGCACAGCGACTCACGTCGTAGGCGTGCTCCACAAACAAAAACAGCATGGACTCGTACACGTTCCTGGGCAAAACAGGGGCACGGCGGCCACATGCGGTTGCTTCGGAAGGCGCAAGCACGTCACGCAGGCAGGCCCGTGTCGCGCCGTGACGCGGAGGGGTCCCGCGTGCGAAAGCAAGCGCGGGTCCCAGCTGTGAAGCGCTGCGCGGCCGAGCTGTGGCGGCGACGCTCGCAGCGGCACGGGTGATGCGCCCCTGGCCCCGCCCTGTTGCATCGCCCGCCCACCTAACGGAGTTGCCGAACACAAAAGTGAAGGCCAGCACCAGGGCCGAAAAGGTGGAGAAGCCCTGTGGCGGAAATGTGAGCGGCGCGTTGGCTGGTTTGAGCTGGGATGAGCCGGTGTTATGGCACGTTTAACGCGTGTGTGTGCGCGCCGCTGCTCCCCCGTCGTCATGCGGCGTCGATGGGCTGCCGCGCCGAGGCGCGGTTGGATATCGAATGCCCATGCAAATGGTGTGGCTGCAGCGCCTGGATGGCAGCTCGAGACGAGGGATGGGCGCCTGGCTGCTGATTCGGCGGGGCGGCAGAAGCGGGAGCTGGCCCGAGCCACTAGGGCGGCAGGTGCGGCGTCGGGCGGGCAGGGCGCAGCAGCCTGAACGCCGGGGATTCCCCCAAAAGGGGCTCCTCAAAAAGGGGGATTTTGGTTGGTTCTTTTGGGGGGCCCAGAGCTCGCCTTGAGGATGTCCACCCCCCATACAAGAAGGTAGACGGCCGAAAACACGAAATGGATGGCCACGCCGATGCCAAACTGGAGGCTGCGCACGATGGAGTCGGTGTCCTGGGGCGCGCGGTGGTTTAAAGTGGTCAGCGCGTGCTTGCGGTGAGGGGTGGGGGTTGCGCGGCGACTGGGGGGTGTGGGTGCGGGGAATGCGCTCGAAAGACGGCGGGTGCCGGGTGATTGCAGGTGGATGGGTCGCGGGGGCAGGGAGCATCAGTGCGGGGACCAGGGACGGTTGCGTTGGCAGCTTCGAAGGTGTTTGGAGGATGCCAGGAAAGCAGTTCAGTCACCACTTGCATCGTTCTGTACCCCACACTTCCCTCGACCCACTGCACCACGCACGCACACACAAACACACACATGAACAAACAAATAAGCACACACATACGCACACGCGCGCGCAAACACACGCATGCGCACACGCGCACACGTGCATGCACCCACGGACGCATGAGCAGGCGCACGCAAACACGCGCACCAGCACATCCACGCGCTTGCGCCGCCGCACCTCCAGGCTCGCCGCCATGTTGCGCCTCTCCTTGAACACCGCGACCACGCTGCTCCTCATCTCATCGGCCGTGATGGCGGCGTCGTTGTCCTTATCAAAGTATGCGAAGGCCTGGTGGCAGTGCAGGGGCGCAGGGGTTGTTGGTTTGTCGCTTGTTGGCGGTTGCGGCAGGGCTTGTGTCTCTTTTTGGGGGGAAGGCAGGGGTTGCCTCTCATGCGGGCTGCGGGTCACGTTTGAAGGGGATGGTGCTGGGTCGGGGCGGAGTGTGAGGTGGGGGTCGAGGGGACATCAGCGGGTATTTGGGCCCCGTTGGTAAGGTGGGTGATTCATGCAGAGCCCAGTTGTTTGAAAGCGGTTCCTGCACATAGAATCAGGATACGGACCGAACCAGGTAGGTCAACGGCCGCGGGCTTCGACAACACCGCCACCTGAGGCCCTCTGCTGCACGACTGTACAACATCCCTCCCAACCCCCACCACCACCTATAATACGCACACAAGCCCAAAAGCACAGCGTCGCCAGACCTTGTGCTCCCAAAGCCCCCCCACCCCTGCCCCCTCGGCCCCGTCCCGACCGCCCCGGAAGCTGGACGGCCACCCGGAAGCCGAGCGGCCGCCCGCAAGCCGAGCGGCCGCCCGGAAGCCGAGCGGCCGCCCGGAAGCCGAGCAGGCGCCCCGCCATCACCTGGTCCCCGATCTCGCTGTCCTCGAAGAAGGCGTCGAAATCCCGCCTCACCACCACCGCCCGCCCCTCCTCCCCCTTGACGTTCCAGAACAGCCCGCGCGCGAAGCGCCGCGCCTCGCGCAGCCGCCGGGCCTCCTCCTGCTCCCCCATGGACTGGTACTTTTTGACGAGCGCGGTGAAGGTCTTGAGGGCGATGCCGGCACGGAGGCGGTCCCAGTCGGCGGGCCGCACGCTGGCCGCGTCGACCTGGCAGAAGGGGGGGTGGCGTGAGTTGGAGGGGTTCTGAGAGGCGGGGCGGGCCCTGCTGGATGTATGCTTCGGTCCTGGCGAGGGCCGGCGCAGCAGGGGCTTGGTTGAGGCGTTTGTGGGTGGGCGGACGAGATTCTGGGGTGGTGTAAAGCAAGGGCTGTAATGTCAGATAGTTGAGAAAACAAGGCCGGCTGGCACGGGTGCGGCGCCGCCAGCACGCAGCCCTTGCGTTGCGGTTCGCAGGCGTCTTGGGTACAATAAGGTTTGCCAAATAGCTGCGAATAGCAAGACGCCTCACCTTCTTGCCGTCCATTTTCAGGTTTATCTTATCCAGCACCGCCGGCTGCACCATGGGACCCCCCTGCGCCCCCGCCGCCCCCGTCGCCGCCCCGAGCCCGCCGCTGCCGCGCCCGCTCGCAGCGCGCGCCAGCCGGCGCGCGCCGGATGACGCGACAGAGCGAGCGGAGGGCCCGGACGCGAGAGGCTTGGAGCCCCCGCGCGACTGCGGCCGCGAGGCCCCGGCGCCGGACGGCGCGTGGCCCCCCTCCGGGGCCGCCGCCGCCGCCGCTGGCCGGCGCCAGAGGCGGCTCAGAGTGGCCCAGCTCAGCAGGCGGCGGCCGCGCTCGCGTGGCCGGCCATCCGCCGGGCTTTCTGGGCCGCCGCCGCCAGGTGCGCCGTCGCCGCCGCTGGCGCCGCACGCATCCACGTACAGCTGCACCCGCTCTGTCCCGCCGTCGCCGCCCGGCTTGCCTGCCGCGTCACGCCGCCCCTGCGGCCCCGCGGCCCGCAAGTCGCCCTCTTCCTCTGACTCCTCCTCCCGCTGCTGCCCATACCTCGCCCTCAGCGCCAGCAACCCGCTCGGCACCCCGCCGCCGCCCGGCCCCGCCGCCATCCCCCCCCC